TGAGTGTGTGAGCGGGCGTATGCAAATGTATCTCTAGAATGTCACAGAGAACTGGGCCTTAATCTACTACTCTTGTCCATGCATTAAAATCAAAACTATTTTATACATTAAAATCAAAACTATTTTATGCAGTAGACATTGCAAATACATTCTTCAAAAGAACACGACTACCTGCAGAATGATTAGCGCTACCGTACTTATTTCTTAAATCCAAGCAGAAAAAAAAAACAGAAAGTTAGTCTGTCTTTTAAAAATCCCAGTAGATCAATACTTTTTCTAAATCATGATCGAAACTGGAAGTAACTATCCAAAGGTGCAGGATTATAGGCGATTACTCTGCTGTTATGCACATTTCACCAAACAATTTCATACACATCAAATATTATTCCTGATAAAAAATTTAAAAAAATACTTCTTTTGTTTTTAAAGCACATTGTGTGCAGGATTCATTCATCTGTATCATCACAATCCAATTCCATGTATTCAATACAAAGGCTGTTTTGCTTATAGTTTTGTAGACTTTACATTGGCGCACAGAAACACAATCCACAATAGCAATAAGGGAAGGGGAATACAGCAGAGGAACTCATCTGATATGAATGTATAGGCCTCAATCCACGCCCAAAGCAAAGCTCTATAATGGAAGGTTACAATGTTGGAGTTGATGACTTAAGAGTAACCCAAAGTTACTTAGAAGTAACCCAAGCTTCATTCTCTGCATGTCGGCAATATTGTAAAAAATAAAATAAAAACATTAAAATTAGACAGTCGCTATTGCCTAGATCTTTCCATATATTGTACATGGTATGACACTGATGGAGTGATTTAGACTTTAGTGCACTAGTATTTACTGATGGAGTGATTTAGACTTTAGTGCACTAGTATTTACTGATGGAGTGATTTAGACTTTAGTGCACTAGTATTTACTGATGGAGTGATTTAGACTTTAGTGCACTAGTATTTACTGATGGAGTGATTTAGACTTTAGTGCACTAGTATTTACTGATGGAGTGATTTAGACTTTAGTGCACTAGTATTTACTGATGGAGTGATTTAGACTTTAGCGCACTAGTATTTACTGATGGAGTGATTTAGACTTTAGCGCACTAGTATTTACTGATGGAGTGATTTAGACTTTAGTGCACTAGTATTTACTGATGGAGTGATTTAGACTTTAGTGCACTAGTATTTACTGATGGAGTGATTTAGACTTTAGTGCACTAGTATTTACTGATGGAGTGATTAAAACTTTAGTGCACTAGTATTACTGACGGCTGGAAACAGTGAACACAATTACACACATTTCTCTTCTGATGAAAACAATGAGTTAATATTCTGTGAACAAAACATGTATTCACTGATGGTGTTTGTATTTACAGTTTTTCAAAAGGGGGTATATATATATATATATATATATATATATATATATATATATATACAGTGGGTGAGAACAAGTATTTGATGCACCTGCCCATTTTTGGCCGGTTTTCCTACTTACCAAGCATGGTAGACGGTCTGCTAATTTTTATCATAGGTCCATTTTCAACGTGAGAGACCAGATCTAAAACAAAAAATCAGAAAATCACATGTATGATTTTTCAAAGTAATTCAATTTGCATTTTATTCATGACATAATATTTGATACCCATCAGAAAAGCAGAACTAATATTTGGTACAGAACCTTTTTTTGCAATACAGAGATCATACGTTTCCTGTAGGTCTTGACCAGTTTGCACACACTGCAGCAGGGATTTTGGCCCACTCCTCCATACAGACCTTCTCCTGATCCTTCAGGTTTCGGGGCTGTCGCTGGGCAATACGGACTTTCAGCTCCTTCCAAAGATTTTCTATTGGGTTCAGGTCTGGAGACTGGCTAGGCCACTCCAGGACCTTGAGATGCTTCTTACGGAGCCACTCCTTAGTTGCCCTGGCTGTGTGTTTCGGGTCGTTGTCATGCTGGAAGACCCAGCCACGACCCATCTTCAATGCTCTTACTGGGGAAGGAGGTTGTTGGCCAAGATCTCGCGATACATGGCCCCATCCAACCTCCCCTCAATACGGTGCAGTCGTCCTGTCCTCTTTGCAGAAAAGCATCCCTAAAGAATGATGTTTCCACCTCCATGCTTCACGGTTGGGATGGTGTTCTTGGGGTTGTACTCATACTTCTTCTTCCTCCAAACACGGCGAGTGGAGTTTACAAAAAGCTCTATTTTTGTCTCATCAGACCACATGACCTTCTCCCATTCCTCCTCTGGATCATCCAGATGGTCATTGGCAAACTTCAGACAGGCCTGGAAATGCGCTGGCTTGAGCAGGGGGGATCTTGCGTGCGCTGCAGGATTTTAATCCATGACGGCGTAGTGTGTTACTAATGGTTTTCTTTGAGACTGTGGTCCCAGCTCTCTTCAGGTCATTGACCAGGTCCTGCCGTGTAGTTCTGGGCTGATCCCTCACCTTCCTCCTCATCATTGATGCCCCACGAGGTGAGATCTTGCATGGAGCCCCAGACCGAGGGTGATTGACCGTCATCTTGAACTTCTTCCATTTTCTAATAATTGCGCCAACAGTTGTTGCCTTCTCACCAAGCTGCTTGCCTATTGTCCTGTAGCCCATCCCAGCCTTGTGCAGGTCTACAATGTTATCCCTGATGTCCTTACACAGTTCTCTGGTCTTGGCCATTGTGGAGAGGTTGGAGTCTGTTTGATTGAGTGTGTGGACAGGTGTCTTTTATACAGGTAACGAGTTCAAACAGGTGCAGTTAATACAGGTAATGAGTGGAGAACAGGAGGGCTTCTTAAAGAAAAACTAACAGGTCTGTGAGAGCCAGAATACTTACTGGTTGGTAGGTGATCAAATACTTATGTCATGCAATAAAATGCAAATTAATTACTTAAAAATCATACAATGTGATTTTCTGGATTTTCTGGATTCCGTCTCTCACAGTTGAAGTGTACCTATGATAAAAATTACAGACCTCTACATGCTTTGTAAGTAGGAAAACCTGCAAAATCGGCAGTGTATCAAATACTTGTTCTCCCCACTGTATATATATACACGACCGGTCAAAGGTTTGGACACACCTACTCATTCCAGGGTTTTTCTTTATTTTTACTATTTTCTATATTGTAGAAGACATCAAAACTATTAATGGAATCATGTAGTAACCAAAAAAGTGTTAAACAAATAAACATATATTTTATATTTGAGATTTTTCAAAATAGCCACCCTTTGCCTTGATGACAGCTTTGCACACTCTTGGCATTCTCTCAACCAGCTTCATGAGGTAGTCACCTGGAATGCATTTCAATTAACAGGTGTTAACAGGTGTGCCTTCTTAAAAGTTAATTTGTGGGAAAAAAGTATTTGATCCCCTGCTGATTTTGCCCAGTGACAAAGAAATGATCAGTCTATCATTTTAATTTTAATGGTAGGTTTATTTGAACAGTGAGAGACAGAATAACAACAAATAAATCCAGAAAAACGCATGTCAAAAATGTTATAAATTGATTTGCATTTTAATGAGGGAAATAAGTATTTGACCCCCTCTCAATCAGAAAGATTTCTGGCTCCCAGTTGTCTTTTATACAGGTAACGAGCTGAGAATAGGAGCACACTCTTAAAGGGAGTGCTCCTAATCTCAGCTTGTTACCTGTATAAAAGACACCTGTCCACAGAAGCAATCAATCAATCAGATTCCAAACTCTCCACCATGGCCAAGACCAAAGAGCTCTCCAAGCATGTCAGGGATGCTTTATGCACCAAGCCAACCTCCCCCTGGGTTGTGTTCAGTAGAAATTGAAGAAAACAGCACAAAACTGAATTTTAAAAAATAGTTTTTTTTGCTACGATGTGCCCTAAAGAACAGGACCAAGCAGGGTAGCTATAATGTTGACCTCTGACAAAGAGAGGAATTGACATGTTTGTGTTGACATGTTGACCTAATGACAGGCTGATGCTCTGAGGTTAAAGGTCACCAGAGTCATAGCCAGTTACAGCTCCATCTCCATCCATAGTACACATTACATCCAGCCACCACTTTGTGACTCCATCACTTTTACATAATGTTATATCTATCTGTTACAGCTCTCTCTCTCTCTCTCTGACCGCAAATCTAAAGATTGGATGTGAGGGGGTTTGAAATGGCACCATTGTTTTTAAGGATCTCTTAGGTACCTGCTAACTCAGCCCCTGTGTAGGCTACAGTGCATCTACTACTTTGTGACTCCATAACGTTGACATAATGTTACATCTCTCTCTGTCTCTCTCTTCCCCTTTTCCCTTAATAATGATCTTTAGTAGTCTCTAGTAATAATCCATAAATATTGTTATTGTTAATAATTATTATCTTGTAGTCTCTAGTAATAAACCATAAATATTGTTATTGTTAATAATTATTATCTTGTAGTCTCTAGTAATAATCCATAAATATTGTTATTGTTAATAATGATCTCTAGTGGTCTCTTGTAATAATCAATAAATATTGTTATTGTTAATAATGATCTCTAGTGGTCTCTTGTAATAATCCATAAATATTGTTATTGTTAATAATGATCTCTAGTGGTCTCTTGTAATAATCCATAAATATTGTTCTTGTTAATAATGATCTCTAGTGGTCTCTTGCACTAACCACAACTTTACAAAAGCCAAAAAGTTAAAGTAAGCAACTTTCATTGTCTCTTGCTTTTCCATGCCAATGTTAAATCTAAACTAATACAGCAATATTAGAGTATGATAAGCCCTGGGGTTGGCCAGCAGTAATATTAGAGTATGATAAGCCCTGGGGTTGGACAGCAGTAATATTAGAGTATGATAAGCCCTGGGGTTGGCCAGCAGTAATATTAGAGTATGATAAGCCCTGGGGTTGGCCAGCAGTAATATTAGAGTATGATAAGCCCTGGGGTTGGACAGCAGTAATATTAGAGTATGAGAAGCCCTGGGGTTGGACAGCAGTAATATTAGAGTGTGATAAGCCCTGGGTTGGACAGCAGTAATATTAGAGTATGATAAGCCCTGGGGTTTGGACAGCAGTAAAATTAGAGTATGATAAGCCCTGGGGTTGGACAGCAGTAATATTAGAGTATGATAAGCCCTGGGGTTGGACAGCAGTAATATTAGAGTATGATAAGCCCTGGGGTTGGACAGCAGTAATATTAGAGTATGATAAGCCCTGGGGTTGGCCAGCAGTAATATTAGAGTATGATAAGCCCTGGGGTTGGACAGCAGTAATATTAGAGTATGATAAGCCCCGTGGTTGGACAGCAGTAAAATTATAGTATGATAAGCCATGGGGTTGGACAGCAGTAATATTAGAGTATGAGAAGCCCTGGGGTTGGACAGCAGTAATATTAGAGTGTGATAAGCCCTGGGGTTGGACAGCAGTAATATTAGAGTATGATAAGCCCTGGGGTTGGACAGCAGTAAAATTAGAGTATGATAAGCCCTGGGGTTGGACAGCAGTAATATTAGAGTATGATAAGCCCTGGGGTTGGACAGCAGTAATATTAGAGTATGATAAGCCCTGGGGTTGGACAGCAGTAATATTAGAGTATGATAAGCCCTGGGTTGGCCAGCAGTAATATTAGAGTATGATAAGCCCTGGGGTTGGACAGCAGTAATATTAGAGTATGATAAGCCCCCGTGGTTGGACAGCAGTAAAATTAGAGTATGATAAAGCCCTGGGGTTGGGACAGCAGTAATTATTAGAGTATGATAGCCCTGGGGTTGGACAGCAGTAATATTAGAGTATGATAAGCCCTGGGTTGGACAGCAGTAATATTAGAGTATGATAGCCTGGGGTTGGGCAGCAGTAATATTAGAGTATGATAAGCCTGGGGTTGGCCAGCAGTAATTAGAGTATATAAGCCCTGGGGTTGGCCAGCATAATATTAGAGTATTTAAGCCCTGTGGTTGGACAGCAATAATATTAGAGTTATGTAAGCCCTGGGTTGGACAGCAGTAATATTAGAGTATAAAGCCCTGGGTTGGGCAGCAGTATTTAGGGGTATGATAAACCCTGGGGTTGGCCACATAATATTAGGTATATAAGCCCCCGTGGTTGGACACAGTTAATATTAGAGTAGATAAGCCCTGGGGTTGGGCAGCAGTAATATTAGAGTTGATAAACCCTGGGGTTGGACAGCAGTAATATTGAGTATGAGAAGCCCTGGGTTGGACAGCGTAATATTAGAGTATGATAAACCCTGGGTTGGCCAGCAGTAATATTTGAGTATGATAAGCCCTGGGTTGGACCAGTAATATTAAGTATGATAAAAACCCTGGGGTTGGACCTATAATATTAGAGTATGATAGCCCTGGGGTTGGACAAACAGTAATGTTTGAGTATGAGAAGCCCCGGGTTGGAAAAGCATTAAAATTAGAGTATATAAACCCTGGGGTTGGCCAGCATAATATTAGAGTATGATAAGCCTGTGGTTGGACAGCATTTAAAATTAGAGTATGATAAGCCCCGGGGGTTGGGGCAGCAGTAATATTTGAGTATGATAAGCCCTGGGTTTGGGCAGCAGTAATATTTGAGTATGAGAAGCCCTGGGGTTGGACAGCAGTAATATTAGAGTATGATAAAACCCTGGGGTTGGACACAGTAATATTAGAGTATGATAACCCTGGGGTTGGACAGCAGTAATATTTGAGTATGATAAACCCTGGGGTTGGAAAAGCAGTAATATTAGAGTATGATAAGCCCTGGGGTTGGACAGCAGTAAAATTAGAGTATGATAACCCTGGGGTTGGACAGCAGTAAATAATTAAAAAGTATGATAAACCCTGGGGTTGGACAGCAGTAATATTAGAGTATGATAAACCCTGGGGTTGGACAGCAGTAATATTAGAGTATGATAAGCCCTGGGGTTGGACAGCAGTAAAATTAGAGTATGATAAACCCTGGGGTTGGACAGCATAATATTAGAGTATGATAAAACCCTGGGGTTTGGCAGCAGAATATTAGGTATGATAAACCCTGGGGTTGGACAGCAGTAATATTAGAGATGATAACCCTGGGGTTGAACCAGTAATATTAGAGTTTTGATAAACCCTGGGGTTGGCCAGCAGTAAAACATTGCTCTGTTCAGACCACACTCATGGAGAACATTGGCTGGTTTTGGGAACAGATTGCCCTGTTCAGACTACAGCCAACCTGAGATGTGGTAGTTAGCTTAGTGGACACAGCGGTAAAGAGATCCTTTATAGAGCTTAACCATTTACCACTGGAGTAATAGCCTTTTCAACCTGTCTAGAGGTTGAAACTCAACTTCAGAGAGTCACTCACACAGAAACCGATGTTATGGCTTGAGAACAGGGGGAGCAAACTGGTGTGTGTGTGCGCGTGTGTGTGAGTCTCTGTGTGTGTGTATATATGTTTACATTTTGAGAGTATGCTGTCATTCTCATGATCAGTCTAGACACTTTGACAAGGGTATGGATCAGGGAGTGTTGCAACACAAGAGGTGCCCCTCCTCCTCCGTATGGGAACCCTTGACAAAATTGCTTTTTTTAAATCAACCCCCGTATTGCCTTGCCAGAGCAGAGGCAATTTTCGCAATGCTCACCTGGGCTCAGGGAGGTTTATATATAGTAGTATCATTAATGGGAGCTACGCTTCACCATTCCCCTCTCAACTGGTCGTGGAGATGGAGTGAGGGAAAGACAGCCTGTAATAAAGTCAGCGATGTGTCACAATCACATGGCTCTTGTCTTCCCCCCCCCTCTCTCTCCCTCCCCCCTCTCCCCTCTCTCTCCTCTCCTCTCTCTCTTTCCCCCTCTCTCCTCTTCGTCTCCCCTTCCCCCCTCTCTCTCTCTCTTTTCTCTCTCTCTCTCCCCCCTCTCTCTCTCTCTCTCTCCCCCTCTTCGCTCTTCTTTTCTCTCTCCCCCTCCTCAGTGTATGGCTCTGTCTGTTTTAGCCCCTCTATTCTTCTTCTTTGTCTCTCTCCTTTCCCTCCTCCTTGTCTTCCCTCTGTTCTCTCTCTGAAGTGAACATCTGCGCTACGTTCCAACAGCATGGCGAGCCTGTCCCCGAGTCCCGTCAGGCACCACCAGATGCTCCCTCTCCTCCAACGGTTCTGCCTTGGGCCCCCGGGGCCCCAGCTGGAATGTGTAACCCTAATTACCAGGGTTTTTATTCTAATCAGATTCATGCCATGGGTACAGAACAGCAGGCCATAGCGCTTTCCCAAATGACACCCTATTCCCTGTATAGTGCGCAATGTTTGACCAGAGCCCTATGGGGACTAATCAGGGGATAGTATTCAGTTTGGGATGCAGCACCTGTCTTTATGCTTAAGACTCAGTGAGAATAACAGGAGAGGGAAAAGTTATCTGCTTCTGTTGCCGTATGTTATGGTGGTATGTGTTTGTTTGTGTTTGTTGGTGTGTGTGTTGTTGTGTTGTGTGTTGTGTTGTTTGTGTGTTATGTGACCTTGTTTGGAATGATAGGTGTGGATGAAAGATGTCTTGTATTAGAACTGAGAATGTTCCTGATATTTGGCCTCTAATTCACAGATCAATGGTTTGGTTCTGAAGGACTGCACTTTAAGTGAATTTGGAGGACTGAAACACTGGCCGCCTGCATTGTGATGTCTTAGAGATCCAAACACTGAAGGCCCGCAAATATTGAGAACAAACTAAGGCCAGCGTAATGTAGAGATCAGAACCTGAAGGCCCACAGAATTTAGAGAACAACACTGAAGGCCCACAAGATTAGAGATCCAGAACACTGGAAGGCATCAGAAATTAGAGAACCATAACCTGAAGCCGCAATATTAGATCCAGAACGGAAGCCCAGCGAATATTAAGATCCGAACTGAGCCAAAATATTAAGAACAAACACTGAAGGCCGCAAATTTAGAGATCCTGAACACTGTAAGCCTCAGAATATTAGGATCCATGAACAGAAAGCCCAGCAAATTGAGATCCCAGAACACTGAGTCCGAGAATATTAGAGATCCAGAACACTGAAGGCCCAGCAGAATATTAGAGATCCAGAACACTGAAGGCCCAGCAGAATATTAGAGATCCAGAACACTGAAGGCCCAGCAGAATATTAGAGATCCAGAACACTGAAGGCCCAGCAGAATATTCAATTACATACTGAAAATAGTCTGAACAATAAAGAGAACCGAGCTGTTCAAAGCTTCTCTTTTCTTAAAGCTTTTCTTAACTCTCTCACACACACACGCACGCACGAATACACACGCACATACACACACACAAACACAACGGACCTAATAAGATTGCATTTTGTCTCATTGAAAGAGGCATTTCGATGTATATTCAAGCCGCTAAACCAGACACGCTCTGTCACTGTAGGAGAATAACTAGCCACGCCTAAACTAACCAATAGCTGAAGACAGGGGCACACAGATTCCCGCTACAACCCAAACAGATACGGAATGCTGAAGGAAACCCCACAAATGGGAGAAGTACTATTTTCATGGACAGTCACCTTGCAATGACTCCTCTCTCTCTCTCTCTCTCTCTCTCTCTCTCTCTCTCAATCTCAACCTTCTCATCTTCAATTCTCTAGCCTTCTCTCCTGCTTCCGACTCGTCTCTTCTACTCTCTCAATCATCTCGAGTCCACGTCCGCTACAATCTGAAATACAGCCTCTATCGTAACATAAACATTCCTCCCAGAATTCTTTCAAGAAAAGCATTTTCAAATGTCCATTGATTAGATCTACAATCGTCTAATCCAGACTCTCTCTCTCTCATCCTCTAGCCTCTCTCTCTCTTCCTTCCTCCTCGGACAGCTGCATTCCGCTCAACAAGACACGATTCACTGCGCGGTCAATATCTTTTTGCGATCTTCGCTGCTCTCATTGTTACATGCATTGATGAAATTCCTCGTCATCTACAGTTGGCGCGTTGGATGAACTGATCCTTCTTCGCTTAGGTAGCCAGCGCCAATTCAATGAAGCCACAAACTTTCTGTCGCACATAACGCGCTTATTACTTTGGAACAGACGGAGAGGGTCAGATATCTTTTTGGAGTTTTGAATCTTCTTCATGGTGCCGAACGAGGGCAAAAGTCAACCGTCAGATCTAAGCAGCTTTGAGCGGTTGGATATAGAGCTGTGTCGCTGATCTGTCCGTTCAGGTCGCTTACCTACTCAACCGCAAATCTGCTGAATAGCAACCCTTCTATACGAGCGGACAATGGATTTACTTTTTTAAAAAAAAAAAGGGGCCCCCCAAAACCCAAAATAAAGAAAAACCCCCCAAAAAAATTTTTTTCCCAAGCCCTTTCTTTTTTTTCCCCCCCCTTTCTTAACTTTTTCCCCCCAAACCCTTACCCCTTCCCCCCCCCCCCCCCAAAAAATTTTTTTCGGGGTTTTTTATTTTCCCCTCCCCCCTTTCCCTTGAATTTCCCCCCCCCTTTTCCCCCCTTTTTTTCCCCCCCCTTCCCCTCTCCCCCCCCTTTTCCCGTTTTAAAACCCCCGGGGGGGAAAAAGTTTCCCCCCTGGGGGCCCAAAATTTCTTTCTTCCTCTCTTTTTTAAATCCCCCACCCAATTCTTTCCCCCCCTTCCCTACGCCGGGTTTTCCCAACAAGCAATTCTGGGAAGGGAATCTTCTTGGGCCGCATGGGAAAATGTATTAAAAAATTCCTTTTTTATGTTGGGCTATTGGGGGCCCCCTTTAAAAAAAAAATTTCTTAAAAAACCCGTTTATACGGCAGACGGGGAAATTTTTTAAGGAACTTTTTAAATGGGCCATAACTGGGGCAAACAAGTGACAAAGTTTTGAGGGTTATTAGAGCGTTCGGATTTGAGCGTTAAAACCTTGGGCAAACTCAAAATGCCCCCTTTTTCGACGCGGCAAAGGGGTCTCCCGCCTTTGGGGGGAAAATTTTTAAATTTAAAAACGGGGTTTCAAAAATTTTTTGAAACAGTTTTGCTGAACTCTTTTGGGGGAAAAGGAAGGGGAGGGGGAAAAAAAAAGGGGGGGGGGAAAAAAGAAAAGGGGGGGGAAAAAAGAAACCCGAAGCCGCCCAGGAATGGACCACGGGGCCCCCCGACAAAATTTGTGAGAAACCCTCTCAGTAACGGGGAAAAAAGGGGAAGGGGTTTGCCAAGGGTGGGGGGAAATGCACCTTCCCGATTTTCAATTTCCCAAAAAACCGAGGGGGGGCCCCGCGGTCCCCCCCCTTTTCCCGTTTTAAATTTCGGGTTTCTATATTGGTTTTCTAAATTGGGGGTTTTTAGGTTTCTTAAAAAGGAAAAAAAACTCCCAAAAACACTCTTTTTGGGGGGGCCTTCCGGGGCCCCCGGGGGGGTTTTTTTCGTGTGCAGAGAAATTTTTTAAGTTTTGCCCTTGCCTACCTGAGATATTTCGCTTGGTTAATTCATAATACCTGCTTGGCCTATTTCAGATATTTTGTTGTGTGGGCCCGGGTTGTAGCTAATTTTTTTATTTTTAATTAATATTTAAATAGTGGGGGACTAGGCTATTGGTTATGATTATCAATCATATTATATATTTTTTACCTTTAATTACCACGTTTAATCAGTATAATACCTGCCTAAAATTATTGCCCAAAATTTTAGCGGGTAAATAATAGCGGCTTAACCGTCTAATCATTCAAATCAGATCCATCAGACCAACCCTTTAAGTTCATTACCAAAGAGGGGGGAAGAACATCCCGTTCCACCTCTCCTCTTTCCCCTTTTTCCTTGTGTGCCACCTGTTCATTTTTCCCTTTTCCCCGAACCGGGAAGGCAGCCCCTTTTAACTAGGCCACTGCAAAATGCGTCTCTGAATGCATAGGCTATGGCCAATTCGTTTTATTAAACTCAACAACAACAGACTAAAAGTGGAAAAATCAAACAAGAGGTTAAATGAAGCTGGTTTAAAAAACAATACGAATATACTAACTTAATTGATAGGGGCATTGGAGAAAAGGTCGCCTGCCTACCCGTGTGTATGGTGGGTCTGCAGTTGTCGGGTTGCCTTCTGTTAGTCCTTTTTCCCCTCTTTGTGGGATAGAAAGTCTTTTCTTGGAATTAAGGGATACCCTTTGGGGACCAGACCTAACTTCCCAATTTTGGGGGGGGGGCCCATTTCCCCCGTTACAGGAGAGTTGTTACAGCCAGGTAATCATAGCCGGCCAGGCAAGTGTTAACTGTTTGGGATTTAAAATGGGGTTAGCCTTTTTCTCCAGTGGTTTTTGGGAACATTAAACCCCCCTTTGTTTTTGGCCCTTCACCCCTTTGGGGAAAAGGGGAGTCGAAAAAATCTTATCAGCTTTGATCAAAGAGATGTTGATCAATAGTATGGCCAATAGAATAAAGAGAGAGAGGGAGAGAGAGAGAGGGGGAGAAAGGGGGAGGGGGGGAAGGGGGGGGGAGCCCCCCCAGAAGGGGTTTTTTTAAGGAAAAAGGGGAAAGGAAAGAGGAGAGCCCCCTAGGAGGGGGGAGGGAGACAAAAGAAGGATTTAAGAGGAAAAAGAGGAGGAGAGGAGGGGGAGACGGAAGTTTAGGAGAGGAGAGAGAGTGAGAGAGAGAGGGGAGAGGGGAGGAAGAGAGAGGACGGGAGGGAGGGAGGGGGGGGGAGAGGGAGAGGAGAGAGAGAAGAGGGGGAGAGAGAAAAGATACAGGGAGACAGAGAGACAGAGGGGGAAAGGGGGTCGGGGAGAGAGAGAGAAGAATGAAAGGGGGGAGGAGAAAAGGGGAGGAAAGAGAGAGGGGGAGGAGAGAAAAAAGGGGACGGGGGGGAGGGGGAGAGAGAGGGAAAAGGGGGGGAAAAGGATTGAGAGAGAGAAAAAAGGGGGGGGGGGAGGAGGGGAGAGGGGAGAGGAGAGGGGAGAAGGGGGGGGAGAAAGGGGGAGAAAAGAGGGTTAGAGAGGAGAGAGAAAAGGGGGAGGGGGGAGAGAGAGAGAGAAGGGGAAGGCGGGGGAAGGGGGGGAGGAAAAGGGGGAGGGGGAGAGGAGAGAAGGAGAAGAGAAGAGGAGAGAAAGGGGGAGGGGGGAGGGAAAGGGGTGGGAAGGGGTGGGGGGGAGAGGGGAGAGATAGAGGGGAGAGGAGGGGAGAGAGAGCCGCCAGAGCTAAAGGGGGGAGAGAGAGAGCCCGGAGCGGAAAAGATTAAAAAGGGGGAGAAAAAAAAGAAAAAGGGGGAGAGGGAGGGGAAAAATAAGAGAAAGAGAGAAAGGGGGAGGGGAAAAAAGGGAAAAAGAGAAAGGGAGAAAGAGAGAGAGAAGGGGAGGGAGAAGGTGGGGAAGGGGGGGGGAGGCATGGAGAGAAAGGGGGGCGGGGGGAGAGGGGGAGAGAGAAGGGGGGGGGGAAGGGGGGAGAGGAAAAGGGGGGTAAGGGGAGAGGGGGAGGGGGAGAGAGAGAGAAAGAGAGAGAAAGGGGGGAAGAGGAGGGGAAAGGGACGGGGGGAGAGAGAGAGAGAGAGGGGGAAAAGGGGGAGGGGGGAGAGAGAGAGAAGGGGGGGAAAAAGGGGTTTAGGGGAAGAGAGAAGGGGGGGAGGGTGGAGAGAGGGGGGAGAGAAGGGGAGGAGGAAGGGGAGGGGGAAACGGGGAGGGGGGGAAAGAAGAGAAAAGGGGGGGGGGGAGAGGGGCGAGAGAAGGGGGAAGGCGGGGGGAGGAAAAAGGGGGGAGAGAGAGAGGAGAATTTTTTTTTTTGGGGGGACAGAGAAAAGAGAGAGGGAGAGAGGAAGAGGAGAGGGGAGAGAGAGAGAGAAAAGGGGGGGGGGAGGGGGAAAAAGGATGAGAAGAAGGGGGGGGGGGCGGGGGAGGGAGGGAAGGAGGGAAGAAGGGGTGGGGAGAGAAGAGAGAGGAGAGGAGAAGGAGAGAGAGGGAGAGAGAGAGGGGAAGGGGAGGAGAGAGGGGGGGAGGAGGAGAGAGGAAAAAGGAAAACAGGGCAGACCGATAGAGAGAGAGAAGAAGGGAGGAGAGGGGGAGAGGGAAGAGGAGAGAGAGATTTTAAGTATGTAAAAAATTTTTCTTGGCCCTGTCAATAAAGTCTATTGAATTGAATTGAATTGGGGGGGAGAGAGAGGGAGAGAGAGGGTTTGAGAAAAAGGGGAAAAAGAGAGGGACAGAGAGCAATAGGGCATGGTTTTTGGTATTAACCTTTTGAAGAGTACATAAACCCTACATGAGAAGGGCCCCACATTTTCCTAGGGAAAGAAACCGTGTGTTGTTTTCAGTTCCAGGGGGTGGGGGGTGGTTCCAGGCCGAGCCTTTTGTGTGGTTTTCAAACCTTTCCCAAAGGGGGGGTGGGGTCCCTACCCTTGGGGGTTTTTTGTGGCGGCTGAAAAAGGTTCCAAAGGGAACGGGGGTTGCCCCACCGCCCCATCCCCCTTCAAAACCTCTCGCCAAACCCCGAAAATTTTACCAAAGGCAGGTCCAACACACACCCGAACCCCCGGGCCTCTACCAATGGTTGAGGTTTAGGTTTAGACACAAAACCCCCGAAAACCCCCGGTCCCTTACCATTTTTGGTGAAGTCGTCAGGTTTAGACACACACACCGAACCCCAGGTCCCTCTACCATATAGGTTGAAGTCGTCAGGTCTAGACACACACACCGAACCCAGGTCCCTCTACCATATGTTGAAGTCGTCAGGTCTCAGACACACACACGAACCCCAGGTCCCTCTACCATTATGGTTGAAGTCGTCAGGTCTCAGACACACACACCGAACCCCAGGTCCCTCTACCATTATGGTTGAAGTCGTCAGGTCTCAGACACACACACACCGAACCCCAGGTCCCTCTACCATTATGGTTGAAGTCGTCAGGTCTCAGACACACACACCGAACCCCAGGTCCCTCTACCATTATGGTTGAAGTCGTCAGGTCTCAGACACACACACCGAACCCCAGGTCCCTCTACATATTTGTTTCAGGTCTCAGACAAGTTACTTATTAGGCGAGTGCAGTTCTTGGATCCAACTCTGTTTAAAATGATGGAAATGTGATGTTTATTTGGTGCTTTACTTTGAACTGTGTATTCCCTGCCCCAGACTTCCTAGCTGTGTTATTATCAAGGGTTCAACTGTTCACATAAGTGTGCAGTGATAGCAGTATCTGAAACATTAGCTATGAAATACTTCAAAACGTTGAGTTGAGTCCAACTAATGAACTGCTTCCTGAAACAGACAGACACACAACTGAAGTTTGATGTACTGAAAATGTTTAAATGGTGATTCATAGCTAGTCAGTATGTGTAGCATGAGTCTCCCTAACAGACAGACACATTCCCCATCTCTCCTTACTGAGTCTCTACTTCTAATGGTGTTGACCCCTCTACCTCCTGAGTCTCTACTTCTAATGGTGTTGACCTCTCTACCTCCTGAGTCTCTCTACTTCTAATGGTGTTGACCCCTATACCTCCTGAGTCTCTACTTCTAATGGTGTTGACCCCTCTACCTCCTGAGTCTCTACTTCTAATGGTGTTGACCTCTCTACTTCCTGAGTCTCTACTTCTAATGGTGTTGACCCCTATACCTCCTGAGTCTCTACTTCTAATGGTGTTGACCCCTCTACCTCCTGAGTCTCTACTTCTAATGGTGTTGACCCCTATACCTCCTGAGTCTCTACTTCTAATGGTGTTGACCCCTATACCTCCTGAGTCTCTACTTCTAATGGTGTTGACCTCTCTACCTCCTGAGTCTCTCTACTTCTAATGGTGTTGACCCCTATACCTCCTGAGTCTCTACTTCTAATGGTGTTGACCCCTCTACCTCCTGAGTCTCTACTTCTAATGGTGTTGACCCCTCTACCTCCTGAGTCTCTACTTCTAATGGTGTTGACCCCTATACCTCCTGAGTCTCTACTTCTAATGGTGTTGACCTCTCTACCTCCTGAGTCTCTACTTCTAATGGTGTTGACCCCTATACCTCCTGAGTCTCTACTTCTAATGGTGTTGACCCCTGTACCTCCTGAGTCTCTACTTCTAGGTGTTGACCCCTCTACTCCTGAGTCTCTCTACTTCTAATGGTGTTGACCCCTATACCTCTGAGTCTCTACTTCTAATGGTGACCCTCTACCTCCTGAGTCTCTCTACTTCTAATGGTGTTGACCCTCTCCCTCCTGAGTCTCTCTACTTCTAATGGTGTTGACCCCTCTACCTCCTGAGTCTCTCTACTTCTAATGGTGTTGACCCCTCTACTTCCTGAGTCTCTACTTCTAATGGTATTGACCCCTCTACCTCCTGAGTCTCTACTTCTAATGGTTTGACCCTCTACTCCTGAGTCTCTACTTCTAATGGTGTTGACCCTTACTCCTGAGTCTCTACTTCTAATGGTTTGACCCCTTACTCCTGAGTCCTCTACTTCTATGGTTACCTTACCTCTGAGTCTCTACTTCTAATGTGTGACCCTACTCTGAGTACTACTCTAATTTTATACCCTCCGAGTCTTCTACTTCTAATGGTGTTGACCCCTACCTCCTGAGTCTCTCTACTTCTAATGGTGTTGACCCTCTACCTCCTGAGTCTTCTACTTCTATGGTGTTGACCCCTATACCTCCTGAGTCTCTCTACTTAATGGTGTTGACCCTCTACCTCTGAGTCTCTTACTTTAATGGTGTTGACCCTATAACTCCTGAGTTCTTACTTCTAATGGTGTTGACCCCTCTACCTCTGAGTCTCTGACTTCTAATGGTGTTGACCCCTTACCTCCTGAGTCTCTACTTCTAATGGGGTGACCCTCTACCTCTGGCTCTACTTCTAAGGCGTTGACCCTCTACTCCTGGTCTTATTCTATGGTGTAGACTCTTCATCTCTCTCTCTTACTCTACGCTCTCTCTCTCTCTCTCTCTCTCTCTCTCTCTCTCTCTCTCTCTCTCTCTCTCTCTCTCTCTCTCTCTCTCTCTCTCTCTCTCTAGGTTCATTGCTGTGTCCATCCCTCTGAACTACAACAGGAAGCACGTTGACCAGCGTCAGATCATCCTGCTGTCAGGCACCTGGCTCATAGCCCTGGCCGTGGCCTCCCCCGTCATGCTGGGTATCAACAACATCCCGCACCGTGACCCCACTGAGTGTAAACTGGAAGATGACAACTACGTAGTGTACTCCTCTGTCTGCTCCTTCTTCATCCCCTGCCCCATCATGCTCCTCCTCTACTGCGGAATGTTCCGGGGCCTGAAGAGGTGGGAGGAGGCGCGCAAGGCCAAGCTGAGGAACAGCATCCAGGCCTGTAGGAAGCTTCAGCATGCAGCCGCCGCCGCCGTGCCTCCTCCGGGGACCATCCCCGGGCCGCTGCCCATGCCCCTGCCCAGGATCATCGAGAGGGATCTGGCTCAGGCCCGGCTGGGGCTGGAGGATAATGATGACTTTCGGCAGCCGGACTGCCCCCCGTTCCCCTCGGAGTACAGGGAGAGGATCAGCTCCGTGCCGTCTATCTCCTACCAGCAGCAGCCGCAGAAGAGGAAGCGAGCCAAGATCAACGGCAGGGAGAGGAAGGCAATGAGGGTTCTTCCTGTTGTGGTGGGTAAGTGCCGCAGATAAATGTTTGGAAGGGTCAAAAACTCACAAAGTTTCCCCTGACTTGTCAAAACTCATAAAGGTTCCCTTCAAACTTGTCAAAAACTCACAGAGGTTTCCCTCAAACTTCAAGTCTTAGAGTATGAATCATAGTGGTCCTCTGTAGCTCAATTGGTAGAGCATGGCGCTTGTAACGCCAGGGTAGTGGGTTCGATCCCCGGAACCACCCATACGTAAAAATGTATGCACACATGACTGTAAGTCGCTTTGTATAAAAGCGTCTGCTAAATGGCATATTATATATTATTATAGTCAAGTTTCAAGTCTTTGTGACTGACTCAAGTCCCCATCTCTGCTTCCCCCTTCTCTTTCTACTGAGAGCTCATAGGGTTGGTTCTGACTGGTCGTGATCAGACCTGGGTCAAATACGTGTTCTGGGCACATAGTGTATAAACCTCGTATGGCCGACCTCAAAGCACACATTGCTTTCTCCAAAGGCTTAACAAAATACTTTTTCAAATATGTCATAAAAAACTAACACCCATTGGAAGCCTTAAAGGCCAGGCTAGACGGTCACTATCAGATAGTCCTGGGAACCGGTTCTCCAGTTATAATGACAGGATACATTAAAAACAAAAGGATGAGTATTGTGTTCCAGCTTCTTATTCACTGACCTGCTTAATGGATGAACATGTTAATCAAACCCGGACCTGGAAATTGATAGAAAGGTTCAATCATGAAAGTCTGAATGAAAGTGATGAAAAGGATCAAATACCCAGCAGGCCAAACTGGTTGAAATGATGTCATTATGTCATTATGTCATTATGTTATTATGTCATTAAGTCATTTTAACCAGTTTGGCCCACTGGGAGAGTATTGTGTTTCAGCCTCTCCGGAGTCACTGACCTGGAAATTAATTATGGGCCCCAACGGTCTAAATGGAAATGATGCATTGATATACCTAGGGGGAATTCTCTATCTATCTCTCATTTCTGGAGATATTCACTTTTGGCCACAGCATCATCATTCATGAATAATTTGCGGTGGTTGAGTCATTTTCTCAGTGTCAGGCTGATGAGGTGCATTTTTTATGAAACATGCACTATGTTTGAGTGGTGGATGCTGGTGGCGCATCCTTCATCTTCATCGGTGGGAGAAAAAAAAACATCCTTATATAAAAAGGTGCTGTGTCCTGTTGTGCTCTCATGGCTTCCTGATCTGTCATAATGAACTGGTGCACGCTTAAAAAAGGGGTTCCAGAATAGGTTATTTGGCTGTCCTCATTGGAGAACCCTTTTGAAGAATCTTTTTGGGTTCCAGGTAGAACACTCTGTGGAAAGGGTTCTACATGGAACCCAAAGGGTTCTACTTGGGAAAAGGATAACCAAATAAGCTTTTTTTAAAGAGTGTGGTGTGTCCACTGCCGTGAGCTACTTTTATATTTAAATGATTAATGGGAAAAGATAACAATAAGCTTTTTTCAAAAGAGTGTAGGTGTGTCTACTGCCGTGAGCTACACAGCTGTTAGTAATTACATGATGTAAGGTGTTGACCAGCAGATAACAACCTTTCTAATACACAATTATGAGAATGCTACAGGTGTTGACAGCAGATACACAGCTTGTTAGTAAAATACAGAATGCTACAGGTGTTGACAGCAGATACACAGCTTGTTAGTAAAATACAGAATGCTACAGGTGTTGACAGCAGATACACAGCTTGTTAGTAAAATACAGAATGCTACAGGTGTTGACAGCAGATGCAAAATTATTATGCACTTATCATCAATAATGAAACGTTAATGATAAGCAACTATATGTTGTTGGCAAGCAACACAACTAAATAGTTAAACACGTTAAAAACACATACTAATCAAATCATGCCAAAGGTCATCAAACCCAGCCAATAGCTAGCACACCTTGGAGGCAATGGAATTTACTAAACCCAAAGAAGGAAAGCCCTTGGATATCAGTACCATCTTACCAGAGAAACTGATAAACGAGGGCCTACACTTTATCATGTGGGCTCCTGTAGAGTTCCCCAAGCAACACAGCTAAGGTAAAGGTCTGCAGTCATCAGATGCTAGGTCTAACAGAAGGTCTGCAGTCATCAGATGCTAGGTCTAACAGAAGGTCTGCAGTCATCAGATGCTAGGTCTAACAGAAGGTCTGCAGTCATCAGATGCTAGGTCTAACAGAAGGTCTGCAGTCATCAGATGCTAGGTCTAACAGAAGGTCTGCAGTCATCAGATGCTAGGTCTAACAGAAGGTCTGCAGTCATCAGATGCTAGGTCTAACAGAAGGTCTGCAGTCATCAGATGCTAGGTCTAACAGAAGGTCTGCAGTCATCAGATGCTAGGTCTAACAGAAGGTCTGCAGTCATCAGATGCTAGGTCTAACAGAAGGTCTGCAGTCATCAGATGCTAGGTCTAACAGAAGGTCTGCAGTCATCAGATGCTAGGTCTAACAGAAGGTCTGCAGTCATCAGATGCTAGGTCTAACAGAAGGTCTGCAGTCATCAGATGCTAGGTCTAACAGAAGGTCTGCAGTCATCAGATGCTAGGTCTAACAGAAGGTCTGTAGTCATTTTGTAAGTCGCTCTGGATAAGAGCGTCTGCTAAATGACGTAAATGTAAATGTAATCAGAAGCTAGGTCTAACAGAAGTTCTGCAGTCATCAGATGCTAGGCCTATTAGAAGTGTCACTTCAGTCTGCCATTCTCTACCTGACTAAGTATAGCTTAAAGCCTTCAATCCAATCATTATGTAACACTTTGGATCGTCGCTCCAGATCTTCTTACCCCCACAACACACATGACCACAGGTTTAAGTATAGAGGTGCCTAGTCATTCGTTCACGGCTTCAGCTAATGAGCAGAAAACAGATGGAAGTGTTGAGGAGAGTTTAATTTGTTCATTGGTCTCCAATTACACAGCCAGACTGACTGATGTTCCTATGTCTTTGGTAATCCATGTGGGAGACCGTATGGGTCATGACTCATTACACAGATAGTCATTTCACACTATCATGCCCAATCCAAACATAACTGGATATTTTCTTTTCACATTGTCCTGCCTAGCAGAGTAATCAGGTCAGCTCAGTACAGCTTGGTTCGGCTCAGCAGTGTGAAAAGCCCATCAGTGTTTTCTAACAAACAAACAGAGTTTAAAGTCAACAAAATGATCGCTGCTGTTCACAGATCAGGTTTTTCAGCGGACTTTCAAGTAATAATATTAATAATAATATGCCATTTAGCAGACGCTTTTATCCAAAGCGACTTACAGTCATGCGTGCATACAGGAGGCAGCTGGCTTCAGGGAACACTCCTAGCGTCACATCAATTAGTATTAGCAGGAAATACAGTTAACCATGCAGGGCCACGCCCACTGCTGTGGACACAACAGGCTCTCCGTCACAACAGCAGGCAGTCGGTGAGGGTGGTTCATGTTAACGACAACACAGACCAACAACAACAGTGGCCGTGTGCACTCAGTAGATCACCGGCTGGGTGGAGTGTGTGCGTACTACCCTCACTCAGTAGATCACCGGCTGGGTGGAGTGGTGTGTACTACCCTTACTCAGTAGATCACCGGCTGGGTGGAGTGTGTGCGTACTACCCTCACTCAGTAGATCACCGGCTGGGTGGAGTGTGTGTGTACTACCCTCACTCAGTAGATCACCGGCTGGGTGGAGTGTGTGCGTACTACCCTCACTCAGTAGATCACCGGCTGGGTGGAGTGTGCGTACTACCCTCACTCAGTAGATCACCGGCTGGGTGGAGTGTTGTGTGTACTACCCTTACTCAGTAGATCACCGGCTGGGTGGAGTGTGTGGTGTGCTACCCTTACTCAGTAGATCACCGGCTGGGTGGAGTGTGTGTGCTACCCTTACTCAGTAGATCACCGGCTGGGTGGAGTGTGGTGTGTACTACCCTTATCAGTAGATCACCGGCTGGGGTGGACCGTGTGTGTGTACTACCTCACTCAGTAGATCACCGGCTGGGTGGAGTGGTGTGTACTAACCCCTCCACTCAGGTCCAGATCACGCTGGGGGGTGGAGTGTGTGCTACCTACTCAGTAGATCACGGCTGGGTGGAGTGTGTACTCCTACTCAGTAGATCACGGCTGGGTGGAGTGTGTTGTGTACTACCCTACTCAGTAGATCACCGGCTGGGTGGAGTGTGTGTGCGTACTACCCTACTCAGTAGATCACCGGTTGGGTGTCGATGAACGGTGTGCGATTCAACATGTCAAATAGTTGGGAAATGAACAGAGAATTAGGGTGTTCTGTGGTCAGAGGCGAGGCTGTGCATGGCCGACGTCCGCGTTACATTGAGGGTAGATATTAAGTTACTGATGGTAGTGATTCCTACACGGACAGTTAGGAGTATAGGAGGGGAAAGGAAGGAGAAGCATTTAGCTCCTACTCAACGGACAGACAGACAGACATCAGCTCCTCTCCTACTCAACGACAGACGGACAGACAGACATCAGCTCCGCTCCTACTCAACGGACAGACAGACAGACAACACATCAGACCCTCTCCTACTCAAAAGACAGACAGACAACAGACGACATGACAATTGAGCCTCTTTTCCATTGACATCAAACTTAGGTTATCAGAAGGTTAAAGGACAGAAAATGTCCTATTTTCAATTTGTGAAAGGCCTTTGTTGACTGAAATTGTTTTCCACATTGGTCAGATTCTACACTCTGTTGTAGGTGAGCTAAAAGAAGCTGGACCAATGTTGATCCTTTGACTGCAGGGGAAGACGACAGTAAGGCGACACAGGAGGAGCAGACACAGTCAGAGGTCATTGTTCCGGGGTGGGCGCTCATGGCAAGCAAGTCAGATGGTATTGTTCAGGGTGAGTGCTCCTGAGAGAGCACAGCAGATGGTCATTGTTCAGGGTGTGTCATAGAAGAGCCAGTCAGATGAATGTTAGGTGGCTGCTCCAGGAGAGCATGTCAGATGGTCATTGTTCAGGGTGGCTGAACAGAGGGACACAGTATGATCTATGCTTTAGGGGCTCAGAGGCTGCTCCATGGAGGAGAGCACAGTCAGATGGTCATTGCTTCCAGGGGTGCAGTGATTAGTTAGGGACCGGTAAGCAGGGTTCAAATTACACCGTGGAAATTGGAAACATTCGTGAAGGTTAATCTAACTGACATTTTGGGACATTCTAGGGGGTGCTCAACATCTCTAGGTGGTGCCCAACATATCTTGGGGGTGCCTGACATCAAAGTCTTTGACTTGTGGGGGGGGGGGGGGGTCCGAATCAATATTAAAATTATAATTTCCCTGTTCAGGAGCTGGTATACCTAGTCTGTGTTCCAAATGGTACCCTATTCCCTATTTAGTGCACTACTTTAGTCCAGAGGCCTCTGACGGCTCTAGTCAAAAGTAGTGCACTACATAGGGAATAGGGTACCATTTGGGACCCGCCCGTAATCTGTATCGCAACTCCACCCGACCGCCAAGCCCTTGACTGAGTATTTATAGCAATCCCATCAAACACTCCTGCATTATTAACCTCACCAGAGAGGCAGGCAGGTTTCTAATCTACAAGCACATCAGCTTCCCTATTCCCTCCATAGTGCACTACTTTTGACCATGAATAGGGTGCTATTTGGGACTCCCCCCGTGGTAATTTTGACAGGGGTCTGGTCAGTGTAAATGAGTGTTACCCAGGTGTCGTTGTGAATCGGTTGCATCTGAAATAGTTTGGGTTGCTAACCCTGTGGCAACATTAAATTCTCAACCGCTACACACTTACCCTCTCCAGGTTGGAAAAGGATATTAACAATTATTTTCCACAGAATTAGTTTTTCTCTCTCGCATTAGCGTCGGTCTTTCTAAAATGTCAACATGCCCCTTCATAAAATGGAGTGTTTTCTGCTTCAGGGACAAAAGGAGAATATAAGCTAATTGTACAAATGTGTGAAGGTTAATCTAACTGAGATTTTGATCTGCTGGCCAAATGGTAATGCTCCTTGAGTTAAGACTGACATGGTAGATTGGCTGTGCTTTGCTTATCAGATCAAATGGGGTTGGCAGTGGTAATGGAAAGTGTGGTGGCTGTAGGGAGATTTTCCACGGCACTTTGATTCTGCTTCTGCTTGGTCTTTGATTGGATTTATATTTATAATATATATTAATATATTCTTTATTTGTGTTTTTTTTTTACCATACCAGTGTCCTCCCGAGTGGCGCAGTGGTCTAAGGCTGTCACGCCCTGACTCAGGGGACTCTTATATGTTGAGTCAGGGTGTGTATGTTCTGTTGTATGGTTCTATGTTGGCCGGTGTGGTTCCCAATCAGAGGCAGCTGTCGTTCGTTGTCTCTGATTGGGGACCATACTTAGGCAGCCTATTGGCACTAGTGGGTTGTGGGATCTTGTTCCGTGTGAGGTTTGTTGTGTGTTACCTTAGGACTTCACGTGTCGTTGGTTTATTGTTTTGTCGAGTGTTTATTAAGTTTAAATAAACATGTATGCATGTCACGCTGCGCCTTGGTCCGTCCCGTCCTACAACGAACGTGACAGAAGATCCCACCAGACCTGGACCAAGCAGTGGGCCGAGGAGGAGCAGAGAGGATGGACTTGGTGGGAGATAAGAGAGGATCTGGCAAGAAAGATGGAGGCCCTGAAGGGGATCAGGGTGGAGAGGCAACCCCAATCATTTTTGGGGGGGCACACGGTGTGGACGACGAGGCAGCAGGAGGCCGCGACAGGGCGGATCTGCTGGTTAGGAGAGGAGGCCACCAGATTACGGGGGCTATTGGTTCAGAGGGAGCAGGAGGTATTCGGTCAGAGGGAGGCGCTACAGGAGGCTGGAAGGGAGAAGGAAGGTGTAGAGGCACGGCGAGAGGAGCTGGTTAGGCAGCAGAAGGAGCGGGGGTTAAGTAAGTGGTGCGTGTCGCCAGTCCGGTCCGGCCCGTTCCTGCTCCCCGCACCAAGCCAGTGGTGTGCGTCGCCAGCCCGGCCCGGCCTGTTCCTGCTACTCGCACCAAGCCAGTGGTGCACGTCGCCCGGCCCGGCCTGTTCCTGCTCCTCGCACCAAGCCAGTGGTGCGCGTCGCCAGCCCGGCCCGGCCTGTTCCTGCTCCTCGCACCAAGCCAGTGGTGCACGTCGCCAGTCCGGCCCGGCCCGTTCCTGCCCCTCGCACCAAGCCAGTGGTGCGTGTTCCTAGTCAGGTCCGGCCCGTGCCTGCTCCTCGCACCAGACCAGTGGTGCATTTGTCCAGTCCGGCACGGCCCGTGCCCGTTCCACCGGTGCCTGGTCCGGCACCGGTCAGCTGCACCACTCCGGAGCCAGAGCAGTCCGCTCCACCAGTGCCTTATCCAGCTCCGGTCAGCGGCTCCACTCCGGAGCCAGAGCAGTCCGCTCCACCGGTGCCCAGTCCAGCTCCGGTCAGCGGCTCCAGTCCAGACCCAGACGTCAGCCCCTCTCCAGGTTCGGGGTCTCCCACACCAGGGTCCAGACAGGGCCTGGCGTATCGTGGGAGGAAGGAGAGGGGAAGCAACGCGTCGAGGTCTAGACCAGACCAGGGGCGCAACAGGGAGGCGGAGAGTGAGAGGTCGTCACGCCCTGAGCCGGATCCGCCTCCGAGGCGGAATGCCCACCCGGCCCCTACCCTGTTATGTTTATGTTGTGCGGTCGGAGTCCACACCTTTGGGGGGGGGGGGGGGTACTGTCAAGCCCTGTCAAATGGTAATGCTCCTTGAGTTAAGACTGACATGGTAGATTGGCTGTGCTTTGCTTATCAGATCAAATGGGGTTGGCAGTGGTAATGGAAAGTGTGGTGGCTGTAGGGAGATTTTCCACGGCACTTTGATTCTGCCTCTGCTTGGTCTTTGTGACAACAGTTGTTGTTCATAAAGGGCTATATAGATACAAGTTGATTGATTGATAATTATTATAATTGATTGAATTTATATTTATAATATATATTTATATATTCTTTATTTGTGTTTTTTTTTTACCATACCAGTGTCCTCCCGAGTGGCGCAGTGGTCTAAGGCTGTCACGCCCTGACTCAGGGGACTCTTATATGTTGAGTCAGGGTGTGTATGTTCTATGTTGTATGGTTCTATGTTGGCCGGTGTGGTTCCCAATCAGAGGCAGCTGTCGTTCGTTGTCTCTGATTGGGGACCATACTTAGGCAGCCTATTGGCACTAGTGGGTTGTGGGATTTTGTTCCGTGTAAGGTATGTTGTGAGTTACCTTAGGACTTCACGTGTCGTTGGTTTATTGTTTTGTCGAGTGTTTATTAAGTTTAAATAAACATGTATGCATGTCACACTGCGCCTTGGTCCGTCCCGTCCTACAACGAACGTGACAGAAGATCCCACCAGACCTGGACCAAGCAGTGGGCCGAGGAGGAGCAGAGAGGATGGACTTGGCGGGAGATAAGAGAGGATCTGGCAAGAAAGATGGAGGCCCTGAAGGGGATCAGGGTGGAGAGGCAACCCCAATCATTTTTGGGGGGGCACACGGTGTGGACGACGAGGCAGCAGGAGGCCGCGACAGGGCGGATCTGCTGGTTAGGAGAGGAGGCCACCAGATTACGGGGGCTATTGGTTCAGAGGGAGCAGGAGGTATTCGGTCAGAGGGAGGCGCTACAGGAGGCTGGAAGGGAGAAGGAAGGTGTAGAGGCACGGCGAGAGGAGCTGGTTAGGCAGCAGAAGGAGCGGGGGTTAAGCAAGTGGTGCGTGTCGCCAGTCCGGTCCGGCCCGTTCCTGCTCCCCGCACCAAGCCAGTGGTGCGCGTCGCCAGCCCGGCCCGGCCTGTTCCTGCTACTCGCACCAAGCCAGTGGTGCACGTCGCCAGCCCGGCCTGTTCCTGCTCCTCGCACCAAGCCAGTGGTGCGCGTCGCCAGCCCGGCCCGGCCTGTTCCTGCTCCTCGCACCAAGCCAGTGGTGCGCGTCGCCAGTCCGGCCCGGCCCGTTCCTGCCCCTCGCACCAAGCCAGTGGTGCGTGTTCCTAGTCAGGTCCGGCCCATGCCTGCTCCTCGCACCAGACCAGTGGTGCATTTGTCCAGTCCGGCACGGCCCGTGCCCGTTCCACCGGTGCCTGGTCCGGCACCGGTCAGCTGCACCACTCCGGAGCCAGAGCAGTCCGCTCCACCGGTGCCTGATCCAGCTCCGGTCAGCGGCTCCACTCCGGAGCCAGAGCAGTCCGCTCCACCGGTGCCCAGTCCAGCTCCGGTCAGCGGCTCCAGTCCAGACCATGACGTCAGCCCCTCTCCAGGTTCGGGGTCTCCCACACCAGGGTCCAGACAGGGCTTGGAGTATAGTGGGAGGAAGGAGAGGGGAAGCAACGCGCCGAGGTCCAGACCAGACCAGGGGCGCAACAGGGAGGCAGAGAGTGAGAGGTCGTCACGCCCCGAGCTGGATCTGCCTCCGAGACGGAATGCCCACCCGGCCCCTACCCTGTTATGTTTATGTTGTGCGGTCGGAGTCCGCACCTTTGGGGGGGGGGGGGGGTACTGTCACGCCCTGACTCAGGGGACTCTTATATGTTGAGTCAGGGTGTGTATGTTCTATGTTGTATGGTTCTATGTTGGCCGGTGTGGTTCCCAATCAGAGGCAGCTGTCGTTCGTTGTCTCTGATTGGGGACCATACTTAGGCAGCCTATTGGCACTAGTGGGTTGTGGGATCTTGTTCCGTGTAAGGTTTGTTGTGTGTTACCTTAGAACTTCACGTGTCATTGGTTTATTGTTTTGTTGAGTGTTTATTAAGTTTAAATAAACATGTATGCATGTCACGCTGCGCCTTGGTCCGTCCCGTCCTACAACGAACATGACAAAGGTACTGCGTCGCAGTGCTAGCTGTGCCACTAGAGATCCGGGAGACCCATGGGGCGGCGCACAATTTGCCCAGCGTTGTCCAGGGTAGGGGAGGGAATGGCCGGCAGGGATGTAGCTCAGTTGGTAGAGCATGGCGTTTGTAACGCCAGGGTTGTGGGTTCGTTTCCCACGGGGGGCCAGTATGAAAAATAAAAAAATAATGTATGCACTCACTAACTGTAAGTCGCTCTGGATAAGAGCGTCTGCTAAATGACTAAAAATAAAAAATAAATAGCGCTTTTCCAGATTCTCAAAGCGCTTACATAGTAAGGGGGGGAAAGTCACCTCATCCGATCAATCAATCATCCAAAAATTAATCAATTGATCAGAACAGTTCCCTAACCTCTCCTCCTCCTCTTCCTCAGGTTGCTTCCTGTTCTGCTGGACCCCGTTCTTCATAGTCCACACCACGCGGGCCCTGTGTGTTACCTGCTACATACCCCAGGCCCTGATGAGCACCGTCACCTGGCTGGGCTACGTCAACAGCGCCCTCAACCCCATTATCTACACTGTCTTCAACACAGAGTTCAGGAAGTTCTTCAAGAAGTCCCTCCACTCATTCAGCTGCTGCTGACATCAGCCCCGCACCGGATGGACAATGGTAGCGCTAACCGTGCTCTCACAGAAGGGGTATACTACTGCACAGGCATGTCAGGGGTCAGGGGTCAGGGTTGGGGTTGGGGTCAATGGTAGCGCTAACCGTGCTCTCACAGAAGGGGTATAACTACTGCACAGGGGTCAGGGTTGGGGTTGGGGTCAATGGTAGCGCTAACCGTGCTCTCACAGAAGGGGTATACTACTGCACAGGCATGTCAGGGGTCAGGGGTCAGGGTTGGGGTTGGGGTCAATGGTAGCGCTAACCGTGCTCTCACAGAAGGGGTATAACTACTGCACAGGGGTCAGGGTTGGGGTTGGGGTCAATGGTAGCGCTAACCGTGCTCTCACAGAAGGGGTATAACTACTGCACAGGGGTCAGGGTTGGGGTTGGGGTCAATGGTAGCTCTAACTGTGCTCTCACAGAAGGGGTATAACTACTGCACAGGGGTCAGGGTTGGGGTTGGGGTCAATGGTAGCTCTAACCGTGCTCTCACAGAAGGGGTATAACTACTGCACAGGGGTCAGGGTTGGGGTTGGGGTCAATGGTAGCTCTAACCGTGTTCTCACAGAAGGGGTATAACTACTGCACAGGGGTCAGGGGTCAGGGGTCAATGGTAGCTCTAACCGTGCTCTCACAGAAGGGGTATAACTACTGCACAGGGGTCAGGGGTCAGGGGTCAATGGTAGCTCTAACCGTGCTCTCACAGAAGGGGTATAACTACTGCACAGGGGTCAGGGTTGGGGTCAATTCCATGTCAATTCAGGAGGTACACTAAAATGTCCAATTATCTTCAATGCTTTTCAGTGAGGAAAATGTGGAACTGGAATTTTGGTTTACTTTCTTCATTGTCTAGGGATGGCCCAGGGCTAAATCTGTATGTATCGCTCTCGAGTGGCCAACCCTCATCCTGGACAGCTACTTAGTGAACAAGGTTTTTGCTACAACCCTACCCTAAACAGATGACCTCGATTAGCTGATTCAGATGTGCTCCAGCAGGGATGGAGTAAAACCCAGCACACCCTGTAGGTCTCCAGGAGGAGGTTACAAGGGCTGGGCTATGTCACCGGCCATCTCAACCCCATAGTTATGCCACTGGGATATGGGTTATATGAGTGGGCACGTGTTTATCTGCCGGGTGGGCGGAGCTTGCACATTCTAGACCATTCCAAGTGTTCTAAAGTGACATCTCCAACCATCCTGGGCACCGGGCGATGCAAAACGAGCATGCCTCAGGTGTTCCTTAATATTGTTTATTACAGGTGTGATATGAGGCTTAATACTATCATTATAACAGTAGTAAGATAGTGTTATTACAGCCCCGTGAATACACCTTAATCGGAAGTTATGAAGAACAGAAGCTAATATATAAATGCATTCATACAGTATGTATAAAATTACAAGCTATAGCCTCTAACCTCCATTACAAATGTTTTTTGTATTTTTTTGAAGTTTGTTGTAATATTTTTTTTTTTTGCCATTTTACTTAAGCCAAATACTTTGACTGTATCTGCCTGTAACAGCAGTGTGTTTGTCGGGTCGTTGACATCGCCTACTGTCCACGTTTTATGTGGAAAATAAAGAATGAATAACAATAAAGAGACGCCTCTTTGTAAAGCAGTTACCTGTTCTCATCGGTATCGGCAATAACACTAGTATTTCAGCTAAAACTCCTTGCAGAAACAACTTAGGCGGTCAATTTTACAAAATCCACACAAAAAAATAACTAGGTCTGTAAATCAGCACATCAGCCGTCCCAGCAAATAAACTATCGATCTAGCAAAACTTGGGATGATGAATTTTAAATTTAAATGACTTTCAGTCAGTCAGACAAAGTGGCTGAGGAAAATGAGGAGAATTCTAAAGTGCCTTTTCTCCCAGTTCAGTGGCTAGTAGTTCAGAGAGCAATTTAAACACGCAGGCAGAGAGAAAGACATAGAGGTGGCAACAAGGACAGATGAAACCACGAGGCACTCTAGGAACATCAGAGATCCAGCTGCAGTTCACTCTCTCTGGTGACATGATTTACTGGAAGAGAGAGAGAGAGAGAGAGAGAGAGAGAGAGAGAGAGAGAGAGAGAGAGAGAGAGAGAGAGAGAGAGAGAGAGAGAGAGAGAGCAATAGCAAATGTGAGCATTTTGATGACGTGATGACACCGAATCATGACCCGGCTGTCACCCAGCACCACCAGCCACCTAACCATGCTGAGTGGTGTGGAGGCGCTCTCTGCTCTCTCATGTACGTTCACACTGGGTCATTTCCTGGATGTGATTCAATCAGAGTTCCCCCAGGGCTCTGATAACAGTGTATCCCTCTGTTCCAGGTTCTCTCCCTAACCAGGTGTCTTGGTCCAGGTCTGTCCCAGGTTCTCTCCCTATAACCAGGTGTCTTGGTCCAGGTCTGTCCAGGTTCTCCCCTAACCAGGTGTCTTGGCGGTCTGTCCCAGGTCTTTCCCATAACCAGGTGTCTTGGGCCAGGTCTGTCCCCCCAACCAGGGGAAATTCTCTCCCTAACCAGGTGTCTTGGTCCAGGTCTTTCAGGTTCTCTATAACCATTTGGTCCAGACACAACCCTAATAACAAAAAAAAAAACTGGTATTAGTTCTCTCCTAACCAGTGTCCTTGGTCCAGGGGTCTGTCAGGTTTTCTCCTATAACCAGGTGTTGGTCAGGTGTCCAGCTCATAACCAGGTCTTGGAGTCTGTCCCAGGTTCTCTCCCCTTATAACCAGGTGTCTGTCCAGGCAGTCAGGTCTTTCCCCATAACCAGGTCTTGGCAGTGTCATCTCTATAACTCTGGTGGTCTGAGTTTACTATAAGAGGAGGCCAGAGTGTCAGGTCTCTCCTAAACCTGTTTTGGTCCAGGTTCTGTCAGTTTCTGCCCAACCAGGTGCTTGGGAGGCTGTCCCAGGCTTCAACAGTGTGTTTGTCAGCTGTCATTTCCCTTATAACCCGGTGTCTTGGATCAGTTGTCCAAGTTCTCTCCATAACCATGTTGTCCACTGTCCCGGCCTCCCTATAACAGGTGTCTTGTCCAGGTTGTCCCAGGTCTTTTCTTACCAGTGGGTCAGTCGGTCCCAGGTTCCTCCCATACAGGTGTCTGGGTCAGGTCTGTCCCGGTTTTCTCCCAACCCGGTTCTGGTTCACTGGTCCATGTCTGTCCCAGGTTCTCTCCCTAACCAGGTGTCTTGGTCCAGGTCTGTCCCAGGTTCTCTCCCTACCCATGGTGTCTTGGTCCAGGTCTGTCCCAGGTTCTCTCCCTAACCAGGTGTCTTGGTCCAGGTCTGTCCCAGGTTCTCTCCCTAACCAGGTGTCTTGGTCCAGGTCTGTCCCAGGTTCTCTCCCTAACCAGGTGTCCTGGTCAAGGTCTGTCCCAGGTTCTCTCCCTAACCAGGTGTCCTGGTCCAGGTCTTTAGATCCAGTAAGGAGATAAAACAAAAAAACTAATAAAACAAAAAACGTCAGAGCTGGTGATGTTGCATAGCCTGGTGGAACCAGCCTGGTCACTGTGTTTGTTGCACATGGAGATGTGTGAAACTTACTCCTCAGCCTGAGGTGTACCCACTTGCGCCAGCGATAAGCTAGCTCTCCGCGTGGCACCGACGGGTAAGACGCTTCAGAAGGGCGGTCACGTGTGCTGCTAGCAAGGCAGAGGTCACGAGTTCGCACCAGGTTTGGGCTGAATCGGGAGAAAGTGGTACTCGCTTAGCAAACATCCTTTACACGTTCGCCATTCTGTTTTACTGCACGTATAGAATCGTGAACACATTGATCGGGCTGGTTCTACCAGGCTAGATGTAACGTGTTTTGTTTAGCTTTCGCTTTGACCTGCAGGTTCAGAGTATACATTTTGAAATAAAATTAAATATTTAAAAAACATGTTGACCCTTGGGAACTTTTATTTATTCACTTTATCTTTACGTTACCAGATGGAAGACAGTCGGTTGAGGTTGAGAGGGCCTTTAAGCGTGGACGGGAAAGATGGTTGTCGATCATTTTACACGGTTAGATTAACATACGGTTGGAGCGTGATGGTCATCCAACAGAAGCTAATCAAGATTAAATGAGCAAGGATGAATGGGCTTCCCTCTGGACCCGGAGTGCTGAGTGTCACTCGTCTGTGATTGACAGGTGAGTGATCGTGACGATGGTTGTCAATGAAGTTGTGACTTGGAAATGGAATGTTGCATTATTCATCTGGGTGAAAGGATTCCTTTTAGTTCCACTTCGTTAGGATGTTTGTGTGCGTCCCAAAATGGCACCTATTTATAGTGCATTCCATTTGACCAGAACCTTATGGGCCCTGGACAAAAGTAGTGCACTATCAAATAAAATAAAATAAAAAAAGTGATTTGTCACGTGCTGAATACAACAGGTTTTACAGTGAAATGCTTGCTTAAGAGACCTCCCTAACAACGCAAAGTAAAAATTAAAAAAAGGGAAAGGTTGGTGTCCTGGCACCACACTGTTAACTCCTCCCTATAGGCTGTCTCATCGCCGTCGGTGATCAGGCCTACCACCGTTGTGTTGTCAGCAAACTTGATGATGGTGTTGGAGTTGGACATGCAGTCGTGGGTGAACAGGGAGTACAGCAGGGGGTTAAGTACACACCCTTGTGGGACCCCCGTGTTGAGGGTCAGTGTGGCGGAGGTAATGTTACCTACCCTTACCACCTGGGGGTCGGCCCGTCAGGAAGTGTTCAGTCCCAGGGTCCTGAGCTTAGTGATGAGCTTGGAGGGCACTATGGTGTTGAACGTTGAGCTGTAGTCAATGAACAGCATTCTCACATAGTTATTTCCCCACTTGTCCAGGTGGGAGAGGGCAGTGTGAAGTACAATTGAGATTGAGACATTGTGTGGATCTGTTGGGACGGTATGCGAATTAGAGTGGGTCCAGGGTGTCTGGGATGATGGTGTTGGGCCCAAAGGGTTCTGCAGCGATACGCCATCCCATCTGGTTTGCGCTTAGTGGGACTATCATTCGTTTTTCAACAGGACAATTACCCAAAACACACCTCCAGGCTGTGTAAGGGCTATTTGACCAAGGAGAGTGATGGAGTGCTGCATCAGATGACCTGGCCTCCACAATCACCCAACCTCAACCCAATTGAGATGGTTTGGGATGAGTTGGACCGCAGAGTGAAGGAAAAGCAGCCAACAAGTGCTCAGCCTATGTGGGAACTCCTTCAAGACTGTTGGAAAAGCATTCCTCATGAAGCTGGTTGAGAGAATGCCAAGAGTGTGTAAAGCTGTCATCAAGGCAAAGGGTGGCTACCTTTGAAGAATCTAAAATATACTTTGATTTGTTTAACACTTTTTTGGCTACTACATGATTCCATATGTGTTATTTTCATAGTTTTGATGTCTTCACTATTATTCTACAATGTAGAAAATAGTACAAATAAAGAAAAACCCCTTGAATGAGTAGGTGTGTCCAAACTTTTGACTGGTACTGTATATATATATATATACACACACACACTACATGACCAAAAGTATGTGGACACCTGCTTGTCGAACATCTCATTCCAAAATCATGGACATTAATATGGAGTTTGGTCCCCCTTTGCTGCTTCAACAGCCTCCACTCTTCTGGGAAGGCTTTCCGCTAGATGTTGGAACATTACTGTGGGGACTTGCTTCCATTCAACCACAAGAGCATTAGTGAGGTCGGGCACTGATGTTGGGCGATTAGGCCTGGCTCGCAGTCGGCGTTCCAATTCATCCCAAAGGTGTTCGATGGGGTTGAGGTCAGGGCTCTGTGCAGGCCAGTCAAGTTCTTCCACACCGATCTCGACAAACCATTTCTGTATAGACCTCGCTTTGTGCACTGTATTGTCATGCTGAAACAGGAAAGAGCCTTCCCCAAACTGTTGCCACAAAATTGGAAGCACAGAATAATCTAGAACGTCATTGTATGCTGTAGCGTTAAGATTTCCCTTCACTGGAACTAAGGAGCCTGAACCATGAAAAACAGCCCCAGACCATTATTCCTCCTCCACCAAACTTTACAGTTGGCACTATGCATTCGGCTTGGTAGGGTTCTCCTGGCATCCGCCAAACCCAGATTTGTCTGTCAGACTGCCAGACGGTGAATTCATCACTCCAGAAAACTCATTTCCACTGCTCCCCTTTGGCCTGAATGCCAAGCGTCACATATGGAGAAAACCTGGCACCATCCCTACGGTGAAGCATGGTGGTGGCAGCATCATGCTGTGGGGATGTTTTTCAGTGGCAGGTACTGGGAGACTAGTCAGGATCGAGGGAAAGATGAATGGAGCAAAGTACAGAGAGATCCTTGATGAAAACCTGCTGCAGAGCACTCAGGACCTCAGACTGGGGTGAAGGTTCACCTTCCAACAGGACAACAACCCTAAGCACACAGCCAAGACAACGCAGGAGTGGCTTCGGGACAAGTCTCTGAATGTCCTTGAGTGGCCCAGCCAGATCCCGGAATTGAACCTGAT